TAGATAATAATAATGTAGAGCTAAGACCTTAAGGTAGGTAGGAATAGGCCTTTAATATAGGCAAACACCAGGCTATATTAGCTAGGGAGAACTGGCAGCTTCAAGTTTGAATGGCGAGACGCTGGTCTTTGAGAGGCCAGAGCTTTCTTCTAAGATAGGACACCATCCTAGCAACAAGTGCCGCCACATGTCTACACATACTAGACCTGGGGAAATCTAGCGGAGGCACCTCGAAGCACTGTAGATGCCCTCCTCTGTCAGGCCCATTACAGTAAGACAAGACATCCCTTTCTTTCTCAGTATTCTGGCCAGTTTCTGGGGGAAATTGCGAGTAAGTTGAACTGTGGGTCTTTGTGCAGCCGGATGCCCGAAGACCATTACGTACCGGCGTCCCCTCTTTGTTGAAGCTTAGAAGCTAGTGTCACTTCCTGCATAGTTATACTAGGGGGATACACACCCCCTTGGAATCAGGAGCTTCTGAGGTGCAGGCAGGACACTAATACCGACTGAATATTGCTGGAATTACGTTCCCCACTGCACATGGTGACTTGAAGGGGAAAGTCCAGAGGGGCTAAGGTTTAGGGAGGTTGAAGACTGGGTAATATGTTCTCCAACACCAAGTAACTTAGTCCTCTATTCGTGCATGGTGGGAATTCTTGCAACATCAGTTATTTATGGAAATGTGTTATATAAGCCACTTGTGAGGCTGAGGTACCAACCTCAGAGCTCAGTGTCAACAGAGCTTGCTAGGGTAGACAACTCACATGGAGGCAGTCCAGACAAAATTTCCATAGTTTTTATGAAAAGTGAAACTCAGATTAGCGTGTGTGTGTGTGAAAGACGTGGGACTGATTCCCAATGAAAGTAGGCCTTAGGCAGAGATGCATGATGTCACCTTAGCATTTTAACAAAAGCTTAGTTAGTGATTGACTGAATACCAGATATGAGGGAGTAGAGAGGAAGTGGATGTATTTAAACATTTGGGATTGGACATGCCAGCAAATGAGTCTCTGAAAGATGAGGTGAACCACAAAATAGATGAGGTGGGGAAAAGGGTAGGTGGTGTGTTGAGGCATCTGTGGAACATGGGGAATATATAATAGCTAAATTTAAATCCAAATACATACAAAAACCTCTCACAGTGATAAACATCTACACTCTACAGAGTGCCACAGTCAAATATTAACCAATTTAGTGAAAAACTAGGAAGCATGATAACTGATGCACACATGAACAAAGACCACTTACTACTCACAGGAGACTTCAATATAAATCTCCTGCAAGACCAGGACCCACATTTAACAGAATTCACAAACACTATGAGCAACTGCCTGCTGCTACCAGCAGTAACAAAACCTACAAGAATCTCGGAGACTAGTGTTTCCTTATTAGACCACATCTGGACAAACACCATATCCCCTTTAAAATCAGGCATAATCACAGATAACACCACTGACCACTACCCTACCTTTCTCATAACCAATCTAGGTAAATTACCCCAAGACACTACAAAAGTTACCTTCAGACTTCATAATGAGACAGCCATTAATAACTTCACAACAGCAATGACAAACATCGACTGGCAAACCGAGCTAGAAATCAATACAGATACTGACGAATGTATTAATAATTTTCTAAAAGAGACTCAACACCTCTATAACAAGCACTGACCTAAAAAACTAAACAGATGACAGCTAAGAGACTGAACAGTCCCTGGCTAACACCCAGCATCCTCAAATCCATAAATATAAAGCACCTATATGAAAAATAGTACAGAATGGGTCACATAACCAGAAACCAAACAAAACGTTACTCGTCAATCCTAACCAGCCTAATAAGACGGGCAAAAAAAATGTATTATGAGAACAGATTACTTAACTTAAAAGGTGATTTGTAAAAGACCTGGAAAACCCTATCTGAAATTCTAGGAACTAAAAAGTTTTCAGGAAACAGAACAAACTAACAAAACCAGATGAACCCCTACTCCCACCGACTGAAACTGCAGACTCGTTGTTTTCTTCTCCACCATAAGAAAACACCTGGCGAGCAAAATCCCAAGCTCAAACACCCCACCTAACAACTACCTCACTGGCACCTACCCGAACACACTGTTCCTAGCTCTGACCAACCCAGCAGAAGTCTCACTTATTATCAACACACTAAAGAACAAGACAGGAGATTTAAATAACTTACCACCCTTCATATACAAAAAAAATCTTTCTCAAGTGCTGTCACCAATTATTGCAACACTCTAACAAATACATCGAATCCTCTACCTTCCTCTCAATTCTCAAAATAGCAAGGATCACCCCAATACATAAAAGAGGAGATCAAACAGACCTGAATAACTATAGGCCAATATCTAACTTGCCCCTTCTCTCTAAAATCTTTGAAAAATTAATTCATAGGTAGATCTATTCCTACCTCATTTCCCACAACATACTCAACCCCTGTCAGTTTTGGTTCAGGCCCAACAAAAACACGAATGACGTTATTATACACATGCTAGAACTAATATACACTGCACTCGAGAAAAAAGAAGTCTCATTGGGAATCTTCATTGATCTACGTAAAGCTTTTGATACAGTTGACCATGATTTATTGTGCATAAAATTATCACATTATGGTATAAGAGGGCACTCCTTCAACTACCTAGTCATATCTTAGCAACAGAAGCCAATATGTGTACACAAATGGAGCTGCCTCTTCCACACTACCAATTACAGTCGATGTCCCACAGGGAAGTGTCCTTGGCCCACTTCTCTTTCTCATTTACATAAACGACCTACCAAATACATCTCAGCTACTCAAACCCATACTATTTGCAGATGACACTACATACGTCTTCTCTCACCCAAGCCCAGTCGCACTAGCCAATACTGTAAATACTGAATTACAGAAAATATCTACCTGGATGATGATTAACAAGCTTACTCTCAATAATGACAAAACCTATTTCATTCAGTTTGGGAACAGAGCTACAAATGTTCCCCTTAACAATGATAATCGGAACACCTATTACAAAACTCACAGAGGGAAAATTCTTAGGAATCCACCTTGATAACAGCCTCAAATTTCAGACACACATACAACAAATTTCCAAGAAAGTCTCCAAGACAGTAGGCATACTATCAAAGATACGGTACTATGTTCCACAATCAGCTCTCCTTGCCCTATATCATTCACTTATTTACCCCTATCTCACCTATGGAATCTGTGCATGGGGCTCAACAACAATAAATCATCTCAGACCATTAATTATCCAGCAAAAGGCTGCAGTCAGAATGATAACAAATTCCCACTCCTAACAGCATACTCCACCAATATTCACAAGTCTAAACTTGCTCACCTTACAAAACATCCATACTTATTATTGTGCCTACTACATACATAGAACACTAAACTCAGATATTAACCTCCCCTTAAACTTCTCCTTACCAACCTTAACAGAACACACGACCATAACACAAGACACAGATCACTCTTTGATGTTCCCCATGTTCATCTCACACTATGTAAAAACTCAATGCACATAAAAGGCTCAAAAATTTGGAATTCATTACCAGTGCTTACCAAAGAAACACTGTCTGTATATCAATTCAAGACTCTTCTAAAAAACCACCTACTCACCCAAAACTAAATACACAGTACTTAATTTAACTTCACCTACACAGTTAACAAATCACTTTCTATTGCCTCAAAATGTCATTACTCACTGGGTTACTCCCCTAGCCTTAGGACCCCATAAATAAATACTCAAAGATCAATAAATTCTCATATCTAATCTAATGCAAATATTGAATAACTTACATTTCATAAATGTATAACCCAGTTGTATAATTAGAGAAACCTTACCAAGCTATGTTATTATAGCATTACCTTTAACTCATCCAATGACCATATGAGCTGTTACTCCACTACAGATCATTGATTTGAGTTGATTAGATCTGATTAATAAACTGTACTACTACATATAGTAAATTGATCATTTTGTTATATTATTCATTGTAATGTTACATAATTGTAAAACTATAATGCTATAATGATATTGTAAATTTTCTACAGTAACTGTTACCATTAATAAAGTTAATTTTAAGCCTGCCCATAATGGCATGTACACCCAACTACTATAATACCTTGTACAATCATGTATCATGTCTTAATAAACTATTGTTATTATTATTAAGAAAAAAGTTTATATGTAAGGGTAAAAATGGGAATGTACCACATTTTAGTGGTATCATCACTTTTATATGGGTGAGGGATGGGCTTTGAATGTTGCAGCAAGGTGGAGGCTAAAGGCACTGGAGACATATGCAAAGAATTCAGAGTGTAGAAATTAAAAGGTGATGTGTGGTCACCAGGGGTATAATTCAGAGGGCCTGAGGTGGTCTGGGGATGTAAGAGAGGCTGGATGATAAAAAGGGTGTATAATCTAGGGGTGGAAAGTAGGTAGATAGGGGTCATCCCAAGAATAGTTAGAGGGGGTAAAAGAGGGCTTGTATATTAGGGCCTTGAGCAACCAGCTGGTTTGTGCGTGTGTGTGTGTGTGTGTGTGTGTGTGTGTGTGTGTGTGTTCAGTGGACATGATGTTGGTGTGAGCAAGATAACATTTATTGAAGAAATTCAGGAAAACCAGTTAGATGAAGATGGAGGTGGAATAGGCACTGCCTGCACTCTGAAGGACGGGCGAGGATGTTGCAGTCAACGGTAATCTGTTATGTGATATCAGCACACTTCTGGCAAGTCAGTAATTGAATGAATGATGAATATGCTTTGTTGTTTAGTTACCCTGCCTTGGTGGGAGATGGCTGTTGAGGTAAGAAAAAATAATGATAAAATATTTACGAAGAAGGGCTTAACCTTTGAGGGTCATTCAGCACCTAAGGAATGAGAAGATTTTGGATTAACGAGATTTGATCCAAAGGGATAGTAGCCTTTCACCAGCTTCAATACACTCCTCTTTAAGTAGCTCTAACATATCTCTATTTTCCTGACAGAGTAAAGAATCATCCCTTAACAAGAGCTCAGACAAGGAAGAGTACATGGAAAATGCATCACCATCACCAAAGTCTACTCAGAAGCAACTGACCAATCCAAATGACATATACACCAGACCACATGCCCCCAAGGATGATCGCCATTATTCTGCTCGAGATTACAAGGACATCCCTTCAGGAAGGCGAGATCCAAGTTCCAGGCATGATCCATACACAAGAAACGAAACCAACCACAGAACCAGTCCCTACCCCACGTCTAGCTCAAAGTACCAACAGGGATACTCCAGAGACAGTTATCGAGACTAAACTTAGTAAACTTACTAAAATTTTGTCATATTAATATTATAATTATGGAAAAGTGCTAAACTCATAAGGGTTACAGTGTCTAACTGCCTACTTTCCAAGGAAAGTAGGCAGTTCCTACTACTTAGATCAACCATTCACTGTTATCTAAGCCATGATATTTGATCCAAGAAGGGGAATACAGGTCCATTATTATTATTATAAGCAAGGGGGAAGCACTAAACTACAGGTCCAATTTCTTATATCATGAGCCCCTCGCTAGCCTCAAGGAACCTTCCTTGAGGGGTTCATTATTAATGGGAGCTCTCTAAACTCTTAGGACTCGTGCAGTGCCTGGGGAATGGGAAGTAGATCCATTCTTGAGGGCAATTAATCCCGACTCCAGAGCTCTTCACCAGCATTACGGCACCTCCCACGAAGGCCACATACTGTATACATGTATATATGTTATGTATCAAGTGTAATCCAATAAGTTTCATTATATTCAACACAAAGGGCTAAACCAATAAGCTTTATATCATTATAATTTTTTAATGGTAGACAGAAAATGTGTGCATGTCTGCTAGATTATTTATAGGGGAACTTTATAATAAAAAAGTGCTAAAACTACTAGGGTCATACAGTGCTGTATATAGGGGGACTATAGTCATGGGAAAATGTTAAATTTGCAGCAAGGGTCATACAGTGCCATGGGAATGAGAATCAGATTTGATCTGAAAGGAGGTTATCTCAAATTCCTCACTGTTACGTTCATGGGGGGAAGCATTAAACCCATAGGGTGCATACAGTGCCTCGGGGAATGGAACGCATTCAGGTCTGATTCAAGGAATTGGAGCATTGGTCCATTTCCTTAGATCAGTCTCTCACTAACATCAATAAACATTTTTCGAGGGGGGTCAAGTTCCTCAAAATAAAAACACATCAAAAGAATTTTTAAACATTTAGACAAAGTGAAATGTCATTTATATTACATTTGAGTTAATGTACGAGCAATTAAATTTGTATTATCTTCGGAGCAAATAGTCACATTGCAGACACCACCAGAGACACTGCTTCATTAAACATAAGGAAAAAATAAAATCAATGTACAATTTTGGTTTATTTGTTATCACCATTTCTAACTTACACCACAAATATTTTAAATATATTTGTGGAACATCTCTATTTACATACACTGTACATGTACAATGTCATAAGAAAATTTCATTTACACTTATGAGTTTTGCCATTTGTCTAGTTCTTGCAAGCAAAATATGATCTGGCAGTTCCAAACAATACTGGCAAGCAATGGAATGAGTTTAAGCCATTACTGAACCAATGGCATCCTCATGTTAAATTATAGTTTCCTAAGTTCTTATCAAGAATTCTAAAACAGGAAACTAAATCATTCAAGCTGCCTTGGGAGCAAGTGCCTTAAGGTCAGCAAAGCACTGTTTAAGGGCAGCAGCCTCCTGCGGCCGGGGTAATGGATGATTTTACATTGCTAACAATCCAGTCCACCATGTGCTTCTGATGCAGACGAGTCTTGACATTGGCAGTCTCCAACTGGTAATCCAACCTCTTCTTTACCTATAAAAATAATGTAGACCATCAGTGTCCAATAGCAATATTATGAAGAATCGATTACAATACATAGTGAAATAATTCCCATCAAACCCACAATTCAGAGGGGAAAACTTAGATGTTTCAGTCTATCCTGGACTGTTTCAGTCCAAGACAGACTGAAGTGGTCTTTTCTGAATTGTAGGTTGGTTACAAGCAATATTCTTGGTAGAGAATTAAATTACAGGTATTTAGCTCAAGTTTTAGGTAATAGGTTGGTAAACAGCAACTACCGTCCTGCCAACTGAGTGTAAAACGAAAGCCTGTAATTGTTTTACATGATGGTAGGATTGCTATTGTCCTTTTTTTTCTGTCTCATAAACATACAAGATTTCAGGTATGTCTTGCTGCTTCTACTTACACTTAGGTCACACTATACATACATGTACAAGCATATATATACACACCACTCTGGGTTTTCTATTTTCTTTCTAGTTCTTGATCTTCTTTATTTCCTCTTATCTCCATGGGGAAGTGGAACAGAATTCTTCCTCCGTAAGCCATGCGTGTTGTAAGAGGCGACTAAAATGCCGGGGGCAAGGGGCTAGTAACCCCTTCTCTTGTATAAATTACTAAATTTAAAAAGAGAAACTTTAGTTTTTCTTTTTGGGTCAGCCTGTCTTGGTGGGATATGCCCGGTTTGTTGAAAAAAAAAAAAAATTAGCTCAAGTATATGCTTTTCTATGACATATGAATACCTAAAACTCAACCACACTTACCAGTAGCAACTGTTGCACAATGCTAAAGCCATACAAGGCATTTAAAATTTTTCCTACCCAATGAGAATGTGATGGACTCTACAAAAGTTTATTAAAAGTGTGAGACTGTAGCAACAAAGGTATTGTAAATATATCAAGGATTTAAGTTAACAGATTTGCAATGTTAACCCTGGCATTCAACTGAATCCTGAAAATAAAGTTTAAATAAGAACTGAAATATGTAGTGAATATAAGCAACTTACAAATAAGATGTGGAAAAAGATTTATGTGCAGTTCAGGACATTTATTAAAGGAAATGTTTCACCACGCATGGCTTCTTCAGTCCTAATACAAAGATAACTAGGAACAAGTGTATATATATACAGTAGTCCCCCCCCCCCCGTATCTGCGAGTGATACTATTCCAAGACCTCCCGTGGATACTCGAAACTGCAGATAACAGCGAACCCTATACAGTAGTGCCTGCAAATTCGTGGAGGTTACATTCCAAGACCACCCGTGAATTTGGAAAAACTGCAAATTCTGAACGAGGTTAAAAAGATGCCTATAAATACATATTTTTACAGTTTAAACCCTAAATATGCCCCCAAAACACAAATTTAATTTCAAACTCAGCTTCATACATCACCCTTAAAAAAAAAAAATGTGAAGATAAACCTGTATACAGTACAGCCTCTCCTCACTTAACCCTTTCACTGTCGAGACCCCTGCTCACAAACTTGCTCTCAGAATGATTTTTTCCTATGAAATGAGAGAATCTTTTCCCGATGGCAATGACACCAAAAGTACGAAATTTGATGGAAAACTTACGGAATTGCGCACTTGCGAATTTAGCGGTCTCAGCGATATTTATGCACTGGCGATTTCACCCACTGAGCCCTATTTACTGCTAATTCCATTGTTCCAGTCGACCAAACTCATAGTTATTTTGCTATTACTCCATTTGTTCTATCGACTAAGTATACAAGAAACCGCCAATTTACCAATTTCAACTATGTACCCAATAATGTGGTCAGAAACTGGCAATCTGGCCAATTTTGCACAAATCTGAAAAGATGTTAATTTCAAAATAGGGTTCAGAATAAACAATGCAGACATTCCTGGCACTAAAATAACATTTTCTCTGTTCATTAGTCATGTCTCCAGGCCCCTCTTATATTACTAATGCTTTCCATTTTGAATTTTTATTCACACAAAAAATAGAACATTACTGTTATGCAGACTACTGCATTATTATTACAAATGTATAAATAACATCAACCCATTTGTTACTGTGTATTAGACTGGCCATCGACAAAAATCGAACATTTCCGCTACCTTGAGCTCAATTTCAAGGTACCTTTCATCGTGAAACCAATCAAAATCATCTCTATTTTTGTAATATATACTCCTTTCTATCAAATGAGACCAAGAAAATGAGAATACAACCATAAATACCATACAAAAATACATTGCAAAGTCACTGTTTTAAACCAAAAACAGTTTATTTTCTCATTATGCACTGCAGGATTTTTTTTATACTGTTCACACTTGCCACTCAGACCCATTCTTTCATATGTAGGACTACCAGCTTTCTCCCACCAGATCTGAAGGTGCTAGAATTTTGGCGTAGTATTAGGGGACCGACACTGGTTTGCAAGCCGTAATATTATGGGACTGACAGAGAAGGGTTAACAACGGAGTTCCGTTCCTAAGAGCACGTCAGTAAACGGATTCATCGCTAAGCAAGGAGCATATTTGAATGGTAGTGAGTTTGTGTCAACCATCTCTGATATTGTTTTAATGTCACCTTTGCACCATTTATATTTTTAGTATGCGTATTTTTAAATGTTTATACAGTAGTGTACTGTATATTGTAATAAACATAATAAGAGGAACTCAGCTCTAATATACATTATTTAGGTACGCATACTGATCAGAAAGCCTATTGTAAGTCCAAGCTGTCTGTAAACGAGCATGTTGCTAAGTGAGGAGAAGCTATACTGTACTACTATGTCTCCTGCAGTGCTAGAATGTAAAATACTGATGTTACCCCCACATGTACAGTGGTCCCTTGATAACAGTCCGGCTCGATAGTCGTCCTTTTCGGAAATTGTCGCGTTATTTCGTCCAAACATTGGCTCGCAAATGGTCCGTTGACTCGCCAATCATCGTTCGTCTAGGACGTGTACACACAGCTCCGAGCCACCTCACACTCCATTCCCAGCCAGTGTGCCATTGTTTATCAGTGAGTGAGGATGATCCCACGAGTTCATACGATACATTTCATAATATTCCATTCGTTTTAGTGCTTGCAACTGCTAAATAAGTCACCATGGCTCCAAAGAAACCTAGTGCCAGCCCTTTGGTAAAGAATGTGAGAAACACATATAATTTAAGAAAAAGTTTGTAGAAAAACACGAAGGTGGTGGTGGTAGAGTGGAAGCAGTTGTAATAGTGGTTGATGGTGGTATAGGGTGGTAGTGATGGTGGTAGAAGGTGGTAGTGGTGGCAGAAGGTGGTAGTGATGGTGGTAGCAGGTGGTAGTGATGGTGGTAGCAGGTGGTAGTGATGGTGGTAGCAGTTGTAATAGTGGTAGAAGGTGGTAGCAGTTGTAATTGTGGCAGAAGGTGGTAGTGATGGTGGTAGCAGTTGTAATAGTGGTAGAAGGTGGTAGTGACGGTGGTAGCAGTTGTAATAGTGGTAGAAGGTAGTAGTGATGGTGGTAGCTGTTTTAATAGTGGTAGAAGGTGGTAGTGATGGTGGTAGATGGTGTAGTGGTTGTGATGGTGGTAGAGGGTGCCTTCTTCAGTGATTCAGTAATTCTACTAACTCCTCCAATGTTGGAGTTATATAGGGCTACAGAAAACACCGCCGCCTCAGCTGCTGCTTCATCACCATTATGGACGGCTTACTCTCAGTGGCCCTTATACACCCAACAACAACACAACACCTCTCGTGACATACATAATGACTTATTTTATTCATTCTAGAGTATATTCCATGTTTCTATGTTATTAGTATGTGACCTCAGAGATTTTTGGAAAGAACACTTCAGTATCCTCCATTGCATAAGCCTTATAGGTAAGGCTTGGGAGGGAATGACTACCAGGACTTTGAACTCTGCTTGGAGAAAACTGTGGCCAGATTGTGTCCACAAGAGGGATTTTGAAGGGTTTGTGGCTACCCTGATGAGCCTATGTCAGTTGTGAACTCTATTGTGGCATTGGGGAGTTCCATGGGGTTGGATGTGAGTTTGGAGGAGGACCACAGGGAAGAGCTAACCACTGAGGAGCTGCAAGAGCTTCAGCAGGAACAGCAACATATTGCAGCTCAAAATCTTGCTGCAGAGGAGGAGGAAGAGAGATGGAAGAAGGTGCCTTCTTCAGAGATTAAGGAGATTTTTGAAATGTGGGGTAGGATGGAAAGATTTATGGAGAAACATCACCCTGAGAAGGATGTTGCAAGCCATATCGGCAACTTGTACAGTGACAGGGTCTTGGCCCATTTTAGAGAAGCTTTAAAGAGACGCCAGAAACAAGAGCTCTCTGGATAGTTTTGTTGCGAGACAGGACTCCAGTGACTCAAGCTGGTCCTAGTGGCATTAAGAAACAGAGAAGAGAAGTAACCTCAGAAAAGGACTTGGTAGTACCTGAGGTGTTGATGGAAGGGGATTCCCCTTCCAAACAGTAACTAATCCAATCTCTCTCCTCCTCCAGTCTTCCATACACTAAGAAGAATCACCAATAAAAGTAAGTGTTATGCTGTTAATGTTTCATTCATCATTTCCCATTGTATTGTTTATGTACTACATGTATATTTCATGTAAAAATTTTTTTTGTTTTAATACTTCTGGGTGTCAGGAACGGATTAATTGTATTTACATTATTTCATGGGGAAAATTGATTTGAAAATCGTCTATTTCGATAATAGTCCCACTTCCAGGAACGGATTAAGGACGATAAACGAGGGACCACTGTACTGTAATTCATGCAAGCCCGTGTTCTTTGGTATACGTACATATATTAAAAAACTTTATACATGTACAGTATTATACAGTGGACCCCTGACTTACGATATTAATTCGTTCCAGAAGGCTGTTCGGGTGCCATTACCGAACGAATTTGGTCCCATAAGGAATATTGTAAATTAGATTAGTCCATTTCAGACCCCCAAAAATACACTTACAGAAGCACTAACAAAAATACACTTACATAATCATTCGAGTTGGGAGCTGTTCACAAGTCGGGAGTCCACTGTATTTTATATG